GGTCTCGCTCTTGCTCAGGCTGGTCTCGAACTCCTGACCTTGAGTGATCCACCCGCCTTGGCCTCCCAGAGTGCTAGGATTACAGGCGTGAGCCACCGTGCCCAGCCCAGACAAGTAATTTTTCTCAAAATTCTACATTCCTTTTCCTCCCTTCACATTCAAGTCCTTTGACTTCCCATCACACACCAGTCAGGCCACCCAAATTTCCTACCTCCCAGTATTTGGTTCGGTTGATACCCTCTGAATATGCTCGGGCAAAGTTACTTTCACTGTTGAGGGCTGTAATGGCTGCACTGAGCTGAGACATGGGATGCAGATTGGTAGGAAAGTTGTCCAGCATGGTGACCACATGGGAAGGCAGAGCTGCTCTCTTTGCCCACTCTTTTGAGAGCCAAGATACCTGTAGAAGAAGAGACACTGCTCAGAACACTAGCAAGCAAAAGGAAGAAGAAAAACAAAAGGAAAGTGACATCTGAGTAAAGAAAAGTCAAGAGAGTCCAATCCAATCCACTTATACAGCAGAACTCTGCTCTGATTCCTTCCCCTCACTACACATCTGTATAAATTACCACCCACAGCCAGATCAGGATTAAGTTTCTGAGATCAGAAAAAGGCAATGAGGAAGGGGAATGAGAAGGGCTAATGTCCTTCTGCTTTACCTGTTCCTCTTTTGGGATCTGTCCAGTTACCAGCAGCCAAAATAAGCCCTCAGGCAGGGGTTCTTCCCCTCCCTTAGCCTTGGGCAGCACTTTCTGGCATTCAGGGATACTAAATCCTCGGAAACGGATGCCCTTGATGGAGAAGAGTGAGAATTACAACTCTTAAGTTGACATATTAAAAAGGCAAACTTGTTCTTCAGTTGTTCCATACATACTTATTCTCTACCTTCCAAAATATTAATATGCTTTGTTTTATTCTCCTTACTCTTACTGGTCTAATCCATGGTTTGCATAGTTAGTAAACTCAATAATTATCAGTGATTGACATGAAGATGTCTTACCTCGTCAGGATCAAGAACTGATGTTTCGTATACCAATCCCTTCATGCCTCTCATGCCACCATACATCTAAAGAGAATGGAAAAAAAAATAAAGGAAGTTGTAACCAGAGTGATTCAGGACACAGCTTATTAGAACTTCACGGGATCTGGGAGAGGAAATTTATCCTCTGACTTGCACTTGGGGGAAGAAAATGTCTGAGGAGTTAACCTACTAAAGAATTGAACTTTGCAAGGAAGACGTTAAAGTTGGAAATGAAGTTTTTAAGTTGAGAAATCACTCACTTTCTTTAATGTTTCTGCCTCTACTTCCTTTTCTTACTGTATTTTATTTTTTCTCCTGCCACTCTTAGCCCCCTAACTCCAAAGTCCTACCAACCAAAGTAAATAGAATGAGATATATTATAGGGGAAGGGGTAGACCAATGGCCAAAAACTGCTGTGAAACTATCATCTGAGCTGCTCAGAATCTTTTTTTTTTTTTTGAGACAGTCTCACTCTTTTGCCCAGGCTAGAGTGAGTGCCGTGGCGTCAGCCTAGCTCA